GTTATCTGGTACTTAATAGTCATTTCTGAAATCCTGTTTTTCTTTTATTCTCAAGTCAGTACAGTCCTTATATGGAAACTGCAAAAACACCAATGCCAATCAGAACAGAGCTCATTTACTTATATCAGTCTTGAAGACACAGAGACAGCCTGTTTAATTCTAAAGGCCTTTACACACCAAGTGTATTTAACTGACAGGGTTGGGATAACTACTGAACAAATAGTAGTTAGCTACTTTATAGCTACTTTCCTCAAATTTGTAGCTAGCTACAATTTAGCTTTTTTTTCAGAAAAAGTAGTGGCAAAGTCAATCATTCCAGGTTTTTCCTAACAAAAATAACTATACAAACCAGATATTTTTGTGCAAAGCATTGTCAACTGTTGAAATAAAATTGCTCCAATTTAAACATTTCAGCAAGATATTTACAGACATTACATTCAGAGTCCTTTGTTAAACTTCAGCAACACTTCAGCCTTAAAATTCTCATCAGTGACTCTGGCTCTGTTTGGGGTATGAATCAGGCCTGAATAATCTCTACTGCTGCAGAGCTGTTGCAGCTCCACAGCAGAACTAGATTTTTAAGTAAAATAACATAATCCTCCTTTACTGTAAAATCATTATAACACACAGTTCTAACACAGTTTTCACAATAAATGGCCTAAAGGCTGGAGTTAATGCATAACTGCTAATTCACAAACCTTTAATGCTGAAGACTGACGTGCAGACTGCTGGACACACAGCAACACAGATAACGAAAAGGCAAAGAGGAAGATTTAAGATGAACATCGATAATTTGGAGACAAATGGACTTATTTGCATTTATAAGCACTCAGCTGGTTTCCTGATACGTTTAATTTGCAACAACTCGCAAAGCTGAAGTCAGCTTCTCATTCTGCTTCTCATTCAAATTGTCCCATTCCAGCTTAAATAACCCAGTAAATAACCCAGTAAATAGCCCAGTTAAGTTAAGCCTGTAGTGAAATTGTAGCAAAAATTTTCGCAGTAGCTACACAAAAATTTGTAGGCACTACAGCTATTAGCTACATTTCATAAAACTGTAGCGGCTACAGCTATTAGCTGCAAAAATTTGTAGTTAACTACAAAAAGTAGCGCGCTACTTAGCTACTCCCCCATCCCTGCTAAATGATGGTATCTGATACACCGAATGCGAAAATGTAATATTATTTTATTCACACTATGTTCGATTTTTCCAAACTTTCGCTGCCAACAAAAACTCACTGACCGATCAAGGTCATCTCTGGTGTTGGCAGCAAAGATGACGGAGCAGCAAATAGAATGCATTTTTGTGTCCTTTTAGGGCCTTTGTGATAAATAGAGGTTAGAAAATGGTCATAAAAACTGAATTAAGAAAAATTTTGATACATAAAACATCACAAATGGCATAAGTGGACAACAAAATAAAATGCTGGAAAAATGTAGGATATGGGCCCTTTGATACACAGGCCTACTCTTGGGTTAATTAGCCATAAACTCTATTTTCAGCACTGTGTTATATAATTCGGTTTACTATCCAGTTGAGTGATGATAATGTACACTACAGGGTTCTCCTAACCCCTCACACTCTGCACTTGTAACACCCTCCTCTTCTGATTTCAAACACAAGTACAGATTGAGAAAAGTTAACTAAATGTAAGAAGAGCTGTTCTTAGATTCGAACACTAAAGAGGACCTAGCAGGATTAACTGTGCTGTTAAGATAGCTTGGACTTAATTCAACACAGGAAAGCCTTAATCACTGTCCTCACTGTGTCTGTCAGCCTGAGAATGGTGCTGAGAGAAAAAATGTTCCCCAGCAGCTCCACATTTAGCTTGAAACAGACACCATCTGGAGGTCCTGTAGATACAGTTGGTGTTAGCTATCTTTGCTGTGGATGTGTTTTATCTGCAGCCTCTGCAGAGCCAGGCCTGAGCTAAAAGTGTTCCTATATCAGTGTTCTCTCACTTTTCCTGTCCATGTTCCTCAACATGAGCCCCTCCTGAGTCGCTACAGCCCCCAAACACTAGCTTCAGGCCTACAGGGCACTCTGAGCCACAAGGTCACCTGGGGTCAGTGAGTGGTACTGGTAATATTAAAGAGCAACACCAATGAAATGTAAAAATAAAATGCTATATGTTATTTAATACTGTGTTCTTTCAGTCGGTGATGAGTGTACATAATTGTAGTGTCTACTAATCTTAGAAAAATACTTGTTGTAGTAGTCAATTTATGTCACATGCTGTAATGTCAGCATAAACTAGGAGCATAACTTAAAATCATTACTGCATTTTCATTTGGTAGCATTAGCTAACTTGTGAATGCTGGTTAGGTACCAGATTTTTTCTTCTGGCTAATGATTTTAACTACCTAACTACTATAAATAGCTAAACATAATAGCTTGGGTCTAGCATCTAGCTAAAAATAATAGCAAGCTTGGTGCCTTAGCTAGCCATCTAGCTAAAGTAATGGATAGCTTGGTACCTTAGCTAGCCATCTAGCTAAAATAATAGCTACCCTGATACCTTAGCTAGCCATCTAGCTAAAATAATGGCTGGCTGGGTGACTTAGCAAGCCATCTAGCTAACTATCTAGTTATTATTTCTGCCCTGCTGTTGGTAAATAAACTAAAGTTAATGCAAGCCTAGCTAATGTCACACTTGTTTGGACAGTATCTTTCCATGGTTGACTGAAGAGTGATTTTCAGTGCATTTTGAAATAAAAGTCTGATGCAGTATGTAAACATTTTTAAAGGTTGAATCATTGTACTATTTACTTTCCAGTCTATATAGACCACATATGGACATTAAGCTGTAAAAAAAAAGCCTGTTTTGAATTTATTATTTGTATGTCATGAAAACCAACACATTTTAACTACATACCTTAAAGCAGTTTAGCAGACAAGTCAGACAAGTACTAAAAAGTACTAAGACAAGTACTAAAAAATGACACCACTGCAGAGGTGATGGAATAAACTGGATATTCATTTCTTTAGGAATGGGGGACACTGAATGACTCCTTTTGGAAATCTAGGCTCGACTTACAATACACAACTGTTTCCACCTTAAATAAACAATCAACGCTGCTAAAGCTCGCCTTGCTAATGATGTTACCATGGCAACGTTTCAACAGCTGCATACCACCATCAGTCATGCACTGCTATGAGGCAAGAAATGATGTTTTTTAAACACCAATATGTAAATGTAGCATAAAGGATAACAAGAGGTTAGAAAGTGATATAATAATGTTGTGGTGTAATATTAGCAACAAATCTAAATGAGAAATCTGGAGCTGTTTATACATGCACTTGTCAGATTAGGAGTTAGCACAGATTAGCAGTGTGCTAAAGGGAGAGGAAGTGTTTCCTGCTGGGGGCGCAGTGAGTCCTGACCTTCAGTTGAGTGTGAGGTGGGTGTTAGGGTCAAAGGTCATTATCATTTCTCCTCATGTGGCAACACTCAGGGCGGGGGAAGCTGAGGAATGTGTCAGGCCTGCAGAGTGTGTGGGGGTTACAGTGATGATGATGAAAAGATTTAAATTAATACAGTGTGACTGACCACACTGACCTTTAACCCAAAGCTAGATACACTCTCTACACCAACAAAGAAATAGGTTTATAAGGGTGGGCATATAAATGTGGCAAAAACATAATGTCATGACACATGAAGACATCAAAAGACATAAACATCTATGAATACAATGATTTTTATTCACTGTTTCACACACTGTGCTGCTCTATACAAATCAGCAACACTAATTATGATCTCTGTGTAATTAAACAGGCAGATGATCAATACTGTACATTCACAGTCTAGTACATAGTGATGTAAATTAAAGAAGTCTTTAAATCTGCTTCTGGATTCCTGGACCTGGATTTCCAGTCCAGTTTCCAGTCCTGAATTTCATTTTCACTGTTAGTTAACCCCTTAAACTGCAGACTTATTATTCAATTATTAATCTTAAAGCTCACTGTTCAGAAACTACAATGAATTTTTCAGTAACTGCTTTGAATTATTCAGTAAATGCTACAACTGATTCAGTAATTACTATGTATTTTTCAATAACTACTATGAAACGTGTGTGTAAATTATGTAATTATGAGAGTGTGAACCTTTAGTGTTTAAGAGGTTTAACTGGCCTGTTGATGTAACTGACGGGCCCCCTAGTGTCAAATCAATCAGCAAATACAAAATCCAGGACAGGAAGCTGGATTTAAGGTCTGGATTTGAAGACTTCGGGTTATCATGCCTTTGTGTAGTGTTAAACTGTAGTTACAATAAACAAACAAAAAACAAATAAATAAACAATTTGGAATTATGGTTATGTTGTAATAGTAAAAGTGAACACTTTTCTGGTTCTGTCTGAATTCTATGTATTATTATTTTGGTTTTTAATCTCCAGTGTACATTGTATGTGTGTGTGTGTGTGTATGTGTGTGTGTGTGTGTGTGTGTGTGTGTGTGTGTGTGTGTGTGTGTGCGCGTGTATGTGCGTGTGTGTGTGCGTAGGTGTGTGCGTAGGTGTGTGTGTGTGTGTGTGTGTGTGAGTTTCACACTCCTCCACTCCACTCTGCTCTGCTTTGCGCTTTTTCTGCCCTGAACTGACGCTAAGCTAACGCTGAGCTAACAGGGTTATTTTCAGCTGGAGGGTCACATGACCACCTTCACAATACAGCCACAGTGGCAGAGGAAGAGGGAGAACAGCGGAGGAGGAAAAAACGACAGGATGTCCGTATGATCGGCACACGGCCATGCAGTAACACTGAGAGAGGGAGGGAGGGAGAGAGAGAGAGAGAGAGAGAGAGAGAGAGAGAGAGAGAGAGAGAGAGTTGCTTTGAAAGGAGAAAAGTTACTCGTTGATCGCTGAGTTTTGCTGAAGGAAAAAGAGAAAAGGAGTAAGAAGGAGAAAAGAAAGAAAGAAAGAAAGAAAGAAAAAGAAAGAAAGAAAAAAGTTACTCTGCAAGCAGAAAAAGTTTTTTTAGATTAGGTGAAAGAAAAAGAAAGAGAGAGAGAGAAAGAAAGAGAGGGGGAAGAAAAGAGAGACAGGGAGAAAGATAGAAAGAAAGCGAGAAAAAAAGGAAAGAAAGGGAGAAGAAAACAAAGGAAAGTTGCTTTGCAAGGAGAAGAGTTAATGATATTAGCTGAAAGAGGAGAGAGAGAAAGAGAAGGAGGGAAAAGAAAGAAAGAAAGAGGGGGAAGGACAGAACAAGAAACAGAGAGTGAGAGAGAGAGAGCAAGAGTGTGAAAAGAAAGAAAGAAAGGGAGAAGAAGATAAAGGAAAGAGAGAGGAAGAAAAGTTGCTTTATAAGACAGTATAATCAGTTTAACAGTTACTGATATTAGCTGAAAGAAGAAGAGGAGAGAGAGAGAGAGAGAGAGAGAGAGAGAGAGGAGAGAGAGAGAAGAGGAGGAGAAAGAGAGTGAGTGGTCAGAAAGGGGAAGTGTGCCTGTTAGGCGGAAAGCAGCAGCGGTCAGTGTGAGTGTGTGAGGGTCAGTAATGCAGTAATGGAGCGGGACAGAATCAGTGGTAAGAGGAAAACTCTCACTATAAACTCTCCTGATCTTTAATTCTGGGCTTTTTTCTTCTCCTCCGCTTTCTTTCCTTTATCGCTCTGTCCAGGATTCTTTGGCTTTCAATGAGAGAATGAATCGCAGCTGTACTTACAGTCACTTTTGGCCACAATGCTGCCTGAGCAGTGGACTTCAGTCTTAAAAGTCCTTTATAAGTGATCTTTGCTTTCTAGTGCTGTTTTTTTGTTTGTTATTAAAGCAGTGTTAGATGTGAGTGTGGCTGCTTTCTTGGTCACTTTTGCGGTCATTATTTTGCTGTTTTGGTGTGTTTTTTGCGGAACAACAGGCATCTGTAAGAAGGAGTTATTTCTGGTAAACTGTCAGCTGGGCTGTGAGGAAGAGAAACTAAGATATCTGTAATTAAAGGAATGTTTGCGTTGTGATTTGTGTCTTTAGTACTTTTTAACTGAGCTTCCTCTGAGTTTTATATGAGAACACGTGTGCAAACTGTGTTACACAGGGTTTTAGAGTCTCACATTCACATTACAGAAGTTCAGAGATTTGCACTCTCAGAGTGTTTGTGAGGTGATATTTTATGCACCATGACCCTTGTCTTGTATGATTTGTCAAAATTCCTCCATAATACAGTGTGTGTAAAAAGAGTGATTCTGAGTGGTTTGGTGTGAAATGGTTCAGATTTCTTTACAGTGGTGGTGATAGGAACCAGGGGTCTCCGTGACTACAACACAAATATAGACATTTTATTTACTATCTAAAACCACCAGTGAACCTACAGGTGTCTTCTGAGTTTTATATGGAATGTTGATCAAGGTGAAATAGTGGAAAATCTGAAATAATAAGTTTTCTGAGGGGACTATTTTGCCTCACAACACCCTGCATATTTTGTATTCCTCCACCATGAATGGATTTAAAGGCCGAACTCTTCTTAAAACTATCGGAAAACAGTGTCAGACATCAGGCAGTGTATTCACAACCATTTCATGTAATAACTTTCTGTGAGGGAGCTTTTAGAGGTGGATGTCTGGTTCCTATCACCACAACTTTCAACAATTCTGACTCGGTAAGTTTCTCTAGAATGTAGCATTTCATACCAAACCACTCTGAATGACTTTGTTTACAGCTAACCCGTTTAATTATGCCGAAAATTTTAAAAATTGGTGGAGTTCCCCTTCAACGTCAGTCTGGTTTATCCAGGGTAAGGAAACTGATTCGAACAATACTGAATGTATTGGAGAATGTATATATACACACACATACATGTACATATGTGCATGTTGTTGAGCTGTCTCTACAGAAAGTGTGTCAGTGCGGTCAGTCTAAGCAGCTGTGGTGGGCGGGGCTCAAATCTTTGGGGGTCCGGCGGCCTCCACATAGCCAACAGCTGTTTCACGGCACTTGGGCAATGCGACTTACACACACACACATATACACACACACATATACACACACCCTGTCTGGAACTGCAGGCCACTTAATACTGGATTCAACACACACACAAACCTCACAGAGCAGCACTGGCACAGTCAGAACTGCTCAGTGTATGTGTGTGTGTGTGTGTGTGGGTTTGTTTTTGTACAGTTTCAGTACAAAAACATTAGAAGTAGTAATACAGGACTAACATACATTCTTAAAAAGATGTGCATGCCTAAATGGTTCTTTGCAAGGTGAAGTGGTTCTTCAGATTGATTGAGAATGTGTTGAATATAATTCTATACAGAACCTTTTTGAAAAGGGTTCTTCTGTTGTTGCAAGCTTGACATTGTCACAACAACAGAACCGTTGTTGGTGCTATATAGGTTCTATATAAAACCATCTACAGCACATTCTTCATCACTCTGAAGAACCATTTCACCATGGAAAGAGTTCTTTGAGTGTTCATGGTTCTATGTAGAACCAGTCTTTACTAAAGAACCCTTGAAGAAGTGTAGAAGACCAGCAAAATGCTCCTGACCTTGTAAAGTGCTTTTTTTAAAGTTCCATATTTCATTTTTAAAACTGAAACAGCAAGCCTGTTTCTTTTTGAGAAGAAAAAACAGTATTATAATGCAGTAGTATTATTAGTACATATTTCATGTATATATACACATATATGGGGTATATTATTATATGGTTATTATTACATATTTGGAGTTTTTTGGTTTTACTATTAAAACAACCAAAAAAATGATAGATTTTTAAACATATTTTTGACCCGCAGTTCTTGCAATGGCCACAAAGAGGCACTGTTTTAGCTGTTATATTGAAATCTCTGAAAAAATCCAGTTTATGAGGAGCTGTAAGAGTCATAACGAAGTTCACACAATGTAGATCTGTGTGGATGATAAAAACATGAACGCTGTGTTGTTGTGGGGACTTTACACAAGGAAAAATGCTTTTTCTACCCACATATTAACACAGTACACACTAGCACAGCAGCATTTACATACACTCATACAAAAAACAGAGAAATACACACGTGTGTGTGTGTTTTGTCCAGAAGTGTGTGTGACGGGTGTTAGTCAGAATAAACAGAGGTTTCCTCGTGATTGGTTTCGAACTCTTTACTGGAGGAAGCTGCGGGCCGAGCTGCTTCCTGCTGCTGGTGTGTATCTCAGTTGCCGTGGTGATTCACACTGCGTGGTGTTTGGGAAGTGATATGGTGGATTGGCTCTGGAGTGATTTGGGCCCTGCAGGCTCGGCGCCCTTTTGTTTTTCTTGGCACTTCAACTGCAGCACTAACGTCCTGTAATGTCAGCACTCAGCAGTATTTCATTAACGTGGACGGAGTGTGACTACGCTAATTATTTCTACATGTGGCTCACACCTTGTGCTCAACACTGTTTGGCTTGAGAGAATAAGCAGGGAAAGTGTGACTGTGTAACAAGTAACAGGTTAACGCTGGTAGTGCAATGAGCCAAGAAGAAGCCAAACAATGGCTGAGGTGCTTGACCCAACAATTTCCTCAAAAAACACCACAATAGGCAGGGGTCAGCAACCCAAGTATTAAAAAGAGCTATTTTGTCCTTTCAACAAAAAACAAACCACCTTGGGAGCCACAACATTGTATGTCCATTTTCCTTGGCTGTAAATATGTCTCAGTATGTGCTAATGTTCTAGTATAGGATATAAAATAGAATATAAACAAAAACGCAGACTTACTTTGCTCTGCTTTAAGCTTTAGCTCAGCTATTGCTGCTTTTCTTGCATCTCTGGCAGGAAACTTTTCCGAAAAAGTAGAATAGTTCCTTGTAAAATGTCTCTCAACGTTCAACTTTTTACGAGGCTGATGTCAGCTTCTCATTTGCCAGCTTCTTGTTCAAGTTTTCACATTCCACCTTAAATGGTGCCTGAGGCGTCAGAATGTAAGTGCTGTACCATTTAAGGTGGAACAGGAAAATTCGAATGAGAAGCTGGTGAAACCAGCTGGAGTGATTATAAATGCAAATAACGTCCATTTGTCTCCAAATTATCGATGTTTGTCTTACATTTTTCTCTTTGCCTTTTCGTTAGCTACTAGCTAAACATGATTGTTTGTTGTCTGTGTTGCTATGGTGACCAGCAGTCTGCGCGCTGATCTTCAGGGTTAAAGGGTGAATTAGCAGTTGTAGGCTACATTAAATCCAGCGTTTAAGGCTGTTTATTGTTTAAACTTAAACGTAGAGCAATCAGCAGAGCTTTATTTTACTGCAAAGGAGGATTATTATATTATTACCCAGAAATCTCATTTTGCTGTGGAGCCACAACAGGACAGTAAAAGTTACATGTTGCCGACCCCTGGTATAAGTAAAGCAAGGCCAGCCTCTAAATGCACATGAGATAAGTTAGCAATGTCAGTGACAAGTCAAAATGCCAGCATTTCAGCCTAGTTGATTTTCATCAGGACAAAATATTGTGGCAAACAGCTCCAGTTAAAAAGGTTCTGTTTATTGTTCTTTATGTGTTGTTCTGCTAGTTTGAGATGTATGGTTTGTGTGTGTTATTTTGTGTCTGGGCTGCAGGTTGTTTGTGTGTGTGGCGGGGGGTGATCTCCCCCAGGTTTGCTGTATGTTATGTGTTTTTCTGCCGGCTTGGTTTAATAAAATCTTCTTCTAACCACTGTTACAATATTAAAGCTCTGGGGTCGACAAAAGTGCTGCGATTCTAATTGGACGTTACTATATCTGTTTGTGTATCTTTGTGATAATCCAGCACAGAAATACAGTTACACATTTCACAAATCTGTAAGTGTGAGTTGCACTTCCATTCCATCTAGAGTTATAAGCCTATAAAGAGGGGCTGAGATACACGTTATCTGCCTCTCACCGTGTGGAACTGGTGAATTCGTGTGTCTGTCTACATTCTGTGTGAAACTGACCAATGGACACTCAGGAAATCACTAAGGACTGACCCATCATGTCGGAAACCCTTCATTTTTCATTCAGTCCACATCAGAGACACATGTGAAATGGCTGCAGAGAGTTTACAGCTGCTGAAATTCCTGCAGCGGTTTTGGAAAGTAGTGATGAAGATAACATCAAGCATATGAGTGTCTTGTTGTATAAAAAAGCCTTTAAAGGAAAATTTAAGAAGATATGCACAACCCCAGAGGACCAAAAGCAACTTTTGAGGTGCCTGTGCTACCGTATACTGATGGGAGTGCTCACCTTCACTTACTATAGAGTAAATAATTATTTCTGTGACTGATTAATCTTTTGATTATTGTTCTGTTCTTCTGCATCACAGTGTCAGTGGTGGTTTCCTTTGCCGAGCTGTGATTGCCACCACAGTCTCATATTTGCTAGTGGGAAACTCTGATTATTTGATAATGATTTTAAGTTTCCAAGTTGGGGGCATCGAAAAAGCTGTGACAGCCTTTGTAAACAGGTTTATTTCAGTTACTCAGGAGTCAAACATGAATGCTGCAGGATAAAATCATGTGTGATACTTCAAATTGGATAAAAACATTACTCATCTCATAAACATTGCACTAATTAATGATAAACAGACTCTCTAACTGAACTAAATACATTAATTCCA